TCAACTTTACATAAAAACTGTTTTTACTTTCTTGCAGAAAGTCTACAAGGAGAAAAGCCATTACCTTATACTTGTTTTAAATGTGTGTAAACTTTTTTGTGCTTCTATGACATTAAAAAGGTCTGGCCATGTTATTTTATTTTTTCAACTTTCTTTTTTTAATTTTGTATATTTTACATATAACGCTGTTATTGTATTTGTTGGTGTGCCTGGAGAGAGGTCCCAGTTGTTGGCAAAACTATTTTTGAGAAACAGGGTGAAAAAGCTAAAAAAAATTTACTGGTCAAAAATTTCGTTTCGTCAGAAAACACACGTTTAACCATGTCTTTATAACATATTGAAAAGATTTCATAATATTTTAAGGATTTATTTTTTTATTAGTTATTTTTGCAGCATAGGGTACTTTATCAAAGGTTAAAATGTTCTACAAATTTGGTTTTTCTCCAAACTTTGTTTTTACATGTATATATCATATATATCATGAAATGTGATGTATCTCTAGAACTACTCAATATATCTGAAAAAATTAAAGATTAGCGTTTTCACAAGGAATTTGCTACAAGAATGTGCTCTTATTTCAATCCAAAATTTTTGACAACTGGGACCTTTCTCCAGGCACACACATATTTTTTAGACCGAGGGATGTTCCTTCAGTTCTGTTAATATCATGGTGGGCAACTGTGTGCTGATGACCCTGGTTCGAGTCTACAATGGAACATCCTTGAACTTGGTCATAATGGAGATGGACTTCAAATTCAGAGGATCCTTTATAAAAATCGAACCGACATCTTCTGCATGCGAAGGTGAAAAACCTAACTGCTACACCATAGATTACCTTGTACGATTACAAAAGTTATTCTTGCATTTATTCATGCCAATGGCCTGAGCGATGGCATTCAAATAAATCTTAGAAAATGTTATTCAATATGTTTTGTATTTTTGCAGTTTGAAAATAAAGGCAAACTATCAACATACTCTGTGTCCCTAACTTTCCTCAAACCATTTTTGTAAAGTTACAATCAATCACTCCTCGCATAAACCTTAGGTTGGAGTCCAAAAATTCATTTTCATTCAATTTAAATATATATCGCTACCTCAGAATTACAAAGCTCTATCTGATATTTTTGGCTCTTTTGAGTTACTAAGACCACAAGGTCAAAAACCAAATTTTTAATTTCCTCTGTCAAAATCAAAAGAGCATTTGGAGTCGTTATCAAGATATTCTTAGATTTGCATTTTAAAAAGCTGAACATGTTAAACTATTTTTAAAAATTATGTCAAAATTTTCAAAACAAGATACTGAGCAGATAGAACTTTGTAGTTCTAAGGTCGCAACATAGAGAAACACTCAATGACTACCGTAGTTTAGTCCTGGTAATGCTAAGAGACAGCAAGACTCAATAGATGGGAACAACAGACGGAGAGCAGAAGAAGTAGGACCTACTTATGGCATCTTCCAACCCACAGACCCGAAAGTTCCGAAAGAGAGGTACCTGGTAATCTAAAAAGCAACAAAAAAAAAGGGGGGGGGGACATTTTCCGTCCTCTTATAGAGTAGCTATTTTAAAGTGTGATTGCTGGTAATTCTGGATTCTGTAATGGCCGGGGGATAATATGGGTTAAACAAGGTCCAATAAACTTCAGTTGAGTGCTAGAGTTGACTATAACTCCAAATTCTCCCCCCACCCCCAAAGCTGAGCTTTTATGAAAAAAGCTGCGTTGAATCGCTTGGCTTATCCAGAATTGTCAGGACGAACAGAACTAACACAATAGTACGATATAATGCGGTTGTTTGTTCGTTGTTTTAAAATAACATTTACATTAAATAGATATATCATCACTTCTAGCTCTCAGCTGACGTAAAACAGACATTCATGTGCTGAGAATGCTCCTTGTTATCAGCACTTGGCACATTTTGCTATGCAGGTGGTTGGAAGGTGCTATATAAGGTCTTACTTCTTTACTTTCCCTTTGTGGTTTATGTCTGACTGTCCTACTTTTTCTGAGCTGTGAATGGTCATTCTTATGTGTGTTTACTCAAACAAACAAACATTTCGCTATATTGAGCTACATTACTGTAAGTGAAACGAGCAAATTATATATTCAATGAAAGTTTAATGTCACAAGAAAAAGATATTCAGGAAAACGTAGGCCAACACATTAAAAACAGATTTTCGTTTTTTAATTTTATTGTTTCTCCTTTGGCGCAAAGTACGTGTAAGAAAAAATGTCTCTAAATATTAATTTATTGACCTATTTTGGAGGAAGAGGGATTAGGACGTGTGAAACAGGAAGGCCTTCAGACTATTTAACACCTAGCAGCAAACAGAGAAGAATTAAGAACTATTATAATAACTGATTAAACATTTTGTTTGACAATAAACCTCTCTATCGAGTACCTGGAAGGGCGGTAACTAAAGAGAATGATGCATTTTTGTCTAATATGAAAGCATAGAACAAAAAATAAGCTATAATAAATTCCTTGTAACTGTAAAGAAATGAATCATGGGGCTTGTACATGTACCAAATAATACACATTGACATTTTTTCAAAAGCGAGAATACATGGCTACAACAAGAAGAATGATTGAACTAAAAGAAATGAAAAGATCGCTACTCTTTCGTGCCCGTCTGAAAATGGTAGATGAAATGCCCGACATGGCCCATTATCTTAATGTTATAGTTTTATACACCTTCAAATCCTGGACACAAAAGATAATGACAAAAGATCGAATGGTTCTTGAGAGGGCTGTTCTAATTTAGTTTTATGGCGAGTTTTTTTGGTTTACCACATAAGTGTAGAATTCTGTGGGTTATTTAAAGGCACTCATACGGTTAAGTCATAGAAGTGCTAACCAGAGTGTAACATACCACACAAAAAAAGAAGGGGGGAAGATAAAAGGACGACAGATATTTGATATATATGAAAGAAGGAGCACACTTCGTTACACCACAGCGCCCGCCAACGGGCTGTTCGGGGTCGGTTGGAAAGTCAGAAGAACAAAATTAATGAAAGTATAATACGTATGCGAATTGTGAATAGCAAGATAAAGTTATAGGCCTACCATTTCCATATATACCTTTAGAATTACAGCCTTTAGAATTACAAATTTATATTATCTGACAATTTTGGACGTCTTGGGTTATCAAGACCATATAACTTGTGGTCAGAAACCAAAATAGTATGTTCTACTGCTCTGTCAAAATTGCATTCGTCGAAAAAGCGTGACATGTGAAACTCATATTTTTAAGCGTCAAATTTCTCAAAACTAGGTAGGCCCTACAGAGCAGATAGAACTTTATTGTGGTTCTATGGTAGTGAAATGAAAAACGATTTTATACTATGCTACGAAACCAAGAGACAGGTCTTTTATTAATCAACACTATCTTTCGAGACAAGATTGGGGCATAAATGAAAAGAGACAGATCTCCTACTTCTCTCATTAGCAACATCACTTTTCCCAGCGGCACGCAAATAACATAGATCTATTATTTAAATTTAAGCCAGTAGGGCCAGCGAAGACCTCAACTTATTGTGGGAGGATAACACTGAAAGTGCCATTAGGTGGAGCGTCCCACACCTCACCACGTAGTGTTAAAAAGCTGCAAATGGCATCGTAAAGAATTTTGGAAGGTTTGGCGGTGACACTTACTATATAGCATTGTTTAATATAAAATTGATTCCAATTTCATCTTGTTTCTAATACCTTAGGCCTTCTTAGATTTAAGAACACCAGGGGGAGGGGGGGGGGTAATCAATGAGAGGCATAAAGTCAACCATTCTGACAACAAATCACAGAATTCTACTTTCTGTGCAACAAGTATAAATTAATACCATGGGTAAAAACAAAAAGGAGCATGATTATATTCAAATATAATGGATTGAGAATTGAGGAAAATACGTGCTGTGCAAAAGTACAAAAAAAGCAAAGCATCTATTATTATTTCTTGACATTGCTTGTGACAAGAATTTAAAGATTCAACAGACACTTGACAGTGACGCTCAGGATAGAAAGGGTGATAAAAAGCATCCGGACGTCAGCTCGTGCCAGATAGCCAGAGCTCACACTAAATAGTTCGGTCCACACTTTGACCTGTTCGTGACGATCAAAGTTTGTGACCTCCAGATCTTCCTTTATCAGCAGAATCTTCTCTTGGTCCGCCCCAGGTCCGAACTGAGGCCATGTGACCCCATCCAGGGGTTCAGGGGTAGGATTGCCGAACTTGGCGAAGTTGGTCCACAACGTGTTCACGTGGTTGGCTACTTCTGCATCTGAAGCGTTGTGGTTCGGATACATAAAGGGCTGGGGTCCGACCGGGAGACCCAAAACAAACCCCTTCTCGTCAGCGTGTGCAACACCCCACCAGTTGGGATAAGGGGAGTAACTGGGTCTGTGAGCAAACTCGTACACGTAGCTGTTCGCCTGGGCTATTATTCCTTCTTTCGGCCGTCCGAAAAGCCGCGCTTCTTGAATGATGCATCCAGTCATAAACCCGTCTGTCAAAACGTTCACCAAAATATCCCTCAGTTCCTCCGGGGTCTTTGTCTTTGACGTCTCACCGGGTAGGTAAACTTTGAGGACATTTTTGTAAAGCTCGTTCTGAATCCGACTATCGCTGTCAAAGAGATTGGCGATGATGCTTCGAAGAATGGTGTTAAATTCGATCAAAGTTACACCGTCATTTTCAGGATCAGGCACTAGCCAGGAGCTGTCCTCTTTGGTGTAACCGTAAATGGTCGGGATATGCATCAGGTTTTGCTTGTCGTTCAGCAGTTTGATCGGAGTATCCGGCAGCACGCCAAAAGTCGTCTCCACAACCGGCAGCCACACCATGTTACCTCCGTAAGACTCAACCTGTAAATGAAGGGGTTAGTGCAAGAAAGAAAACATGTTTTGAAACCGTCTTTAAAAAGAGCCTTCTTTAGTCGAGCGTGTGAAAAGTCATATTGGGTTTTCCCAAAAAGACACTCGTGTTATTGAAGGAGAGATAATCCAAACAAGCTTTATTATAATCAAAGATAGTACAAGACAAGATGGGCCACTTCTCTCTTTGAGCCAATTAAAAAAGTGTCCTCAAAATGTGGTGGCGCCCTCTTCACAAAAGCGCACTCTTTGCGAACAGAGTTACCCTACTTGAGTTTTAAAAAATCAAAGTGAAACTAGCAAGTTTTGGGATAAATTTCGGAAGAACGCTTTTTAAAAATGGTTACGCTGACAAAAAACCTCTTCCGGAGGAAAAGGAGATGTTTTTCTTCGTTTAATTTGACTTTAGAATGAAGGGCGAGAGGTCATTAAAATTTTAAAAACCTAAGACTCCGCACTGAACGTACCCGAACCGCTGATGAACAGCAGTCGATCTGCGCACGCAAGGAGGTGCTATTTCTATTCTTCTTCTGGAAAAACGAAAGAGAGCTTCAAAACAGACTGCAGCGCCATCTGAAGCAAAGAGCATACTTCCTGCGGACACTTTTTAGGCTGAGTGGCCCATCTTGTCTTGTACTATCTTTGTTATAATGAAGACTTGATTCACAAGAATGTCGTTGCTCTATTTGGAAAAGTATAGATCTAGCCCACAAAAATTTGACAAGTAAATTTTACTGTTAAGAGGCAGACAGAGATCTGAACCATGAAATAAGACATTGTTTTCACAAAGACATTTTTTTTCATGGCTTACTATTGGTTTTGGACTACCTAGAAATGAAATATGTCTTAGATGTGATGTTTAGACTTAAAATCTTAAACACTGATAAAATCCATACTGTTCAAAAATGCATCTTATGATTGAAAGGAATCTGCATCACGCAAAAGCAGAAAGTGCATATTATCATCTGCAAGCTGTTCAAAGGTTCTCACCCAAAAATGTTGAAAACAGTTTTACCGCAGTATCTTAATCTCTAGTATATTTTGCATGTGCTCTAAATAATAATTATAATTTGTCAAAATTGAATTTCTTAATGCTGAAAAAAAAAACCCCACAAAATACATGTGTAATGAAAGCCATAAATCCACAATCTGTTTTTGTGCAGATTGAATTTTAATGGCCTTAGCCACTGTAATAATATTTCAGCAGGCAGTGTTTCATCAACACTCAGGTAGCCTAAAGGCAAAATACCTCTGCGAGGATTTTTAAGAGGCGAGACCACCGAATTTCACGTCCATTTTGACTGATTCAAATGGGCTGAAAGCGTTGAAAACTCCTTAAAATGACTTTAGTTCGAAAATGTCCAATTTGAGATTCAAACCAGGGTGATCCACTCCGTAGTCCAGCATGATACCAGCTAAGATAATGGAGCTACCATTTATTATTTGCAAATTTTATTATAACGATCATGCTGATTAAATTGTTATTGAGACATTTAATTAAAATTCAATTTCTAACTGTTGACTAAAGCAATTTTCAAAAAAGTAAACCCACTTTCTGTAGGATTCGACCGGATGAAAGGGGAAGTCAAAGTCAAAAGGCAAATGAGGTTTCTAGCATTATAACTTTTAATAATATGTGCCTTTATTGTTGGGAGTCAAATGACCAGAAACGGCACTTTCCTGATGCTGAGGATGAGGGTATCGTTTAGGTTTTTTTTATTTAGTTCAGTTTGGCAAAAAGTTTAACGGTGCTCGCAATTGCATTTTATTATATTTCACAAGATGATTTCGTAGAAAGCAAATATAAACTCCAATAACTATATTTGGTTACGGGTTCGGGGGTTCGAGTCGCGGGCCCAACGCTGTGTCCTCGGGAAAGGCACTTTATACGAATTTTCCTCACTTCGCCCAGGTGGGCGGTGGGAATGAGTACCCGGCCGTAGACAGCGAAAGATCCTGTCCGTATGTTAGTGTTTTAGCGCCTATAAATGGCCGCTTGCACTGTATACTTCCCAGGAAGTTGATGTTGTTTCAGAGTGCTCTCGGGTCTGCTGGGATAATAGTATAGATTGTGAAGCGCATAGAGCTTGCTTTTGAGCGGGGATTTGCGCTATCTATCTATCTATCTATCTATCTATCTATCTATCTATCTATCTATCTATCTATATCAAACCTTCATACTGAAGAAGCCAGAAAAAAACTTGTAGAGTTTTGCTTGACTTTGAAACAGGAATTCAGGACTGTAACCGGAAAACGGGAAATTGCATGCAGTGTCATATTGAGGTGTATGGGCGGTTTTTGTTCTGAAATCTGAACACTGAGGACGTCAATGTGGGGGATTTTCGAGAAAGCAGAGACAGAGATGTGTTGCGCTTAGTGAGGTTCTTGTACACATTCTGTAACTGTAGGCGGGTAGGCTACAAGCAAGCAAGTTTAAAGAGACGGCCCTTCTCGTGAATTAAGCAATAATAAAGCCATATTCTAGTCTCAGACTTCACTTCTCATCCTCCTCCTTCTCTTTATCTTTCGCCTCCTCCTCCTCCTTCTCCTCCTCCTCCTCCCCATCCTCTTTGTCCTCTACCCTTACCCACTTCTTCTTCTTCTTCTTCTTCTTCTTCTTCTTCTTCTTCTTCTTTTTCTTCTTCTTCTTCTTCTTCTTCTTCTTCTTCTTCTT